TGTTCCACGTTTTGAAAGCATGTCTGCATGCAATCGGATCAAAACGCTGGCAGAAGCATTTTATACAAATCCAAGCACGGTCGAAGAGCTAGCTGCAGTATACACTCGACCCTTCACGAAACACCGCATATCGCTACTGAGCCAAAGGTGACTCAATTTTATACGGGTCAACATGAGTTTTCTGTATGCGTGTTGAGAATTCATCGAAGATTCTTTCGTCAGGTGCGATCTGGCTTTCTAGTTAGCTAAATTTGTCTGCTCATTCTTATTGCTTCCACACTTAGCGTGAGATTTGGTTGGGAACTAGGCTAATCAAACCATGAGGCACATTTTACAATTTAGAACCGAAAGATGTGTTGTGTTGACCTATAGCTATACCAACACTCACAATGTTCGGAAAGGCTCACAAATTACCTGGCTGATTCTTTACTCAGTCGTAAAAGAGTTGGGACCTTTGACAATTGTGTAATGTTAGTAAGATAATGCACTGAAGTGCAAACACGTGTTGTCACCAGATTGGTAGAAATACCGGCTTACCGTACGCGTCCCCGGTCACTTGGATGCAAGTGGAATTGATCATATAACCCAGGTAGGATTGGATTGTGCAACATCTCACAGTGACCTCATACTCTAAAGTAGTGAGCCACGGGAACCGGAGTGCCACATTGTTCAAATCATATTGCGCTTCATGTTTCGAGTCTTGAACCAATTCAATTTGCGTATGTCCAATTGTTTCCGGTTTAGAATTACTATAACATTTGTACCAAGACATTCTCCGGAAACTTCTAGTCGGTGGAAACATCATGACAGTCACACGACTGGCTTCGAGTTTGAAATGCAACGCGGGGTAAACAAGGAGTCAAATATAATTAGTATTTGCAAATCAGATCAGAGTATGTTAGAACTCAATATCATAACAGTCCTCATTTACATGTTGGAAACTTAAAAATCGCTGTGACAAATTCAGAACATTTAATCGATATGTCTGGGATGATCCAAAGGAGATTACCATACCGAGTCACCGATTTACAACCGAGTTTGAGTATCAGTGGATTTCTAGCATGCCGAATGAAACATCTGGGTTGGTTGTTTTATGCTGTTAAATCAATTGTGCTTCTTGCAGAATTGCGAGGAATCGATTAGATATGACTGTGTTCTTCAATGACACTGATCTAATCACATAATCCTACATTTCACTGGTGCCATTTAGTGGGAGCTGAGGACACGATCAATCTGCATCTGGGGAGCGGAAGAAGGTTATATCTAAAGTAACTACTAGAAAGCATTTAAGTATTAGGTTTTTTCACCACAATTCTCCTACAAGTTACCCTAGTTCGACGAGCAACTGGGTCACTCAGCATGATGAATCCCCATATTGCACCAAGTTGGTGGGCGAAGGTAAGCTAAACCATCAAGAATCTCTAGCACAGAGATTTTTTTCAAATCCCA